AGACATTTTTCTTTGAGCTGGCTGAGTTCTTTATCTGAACCATAGACATCTGTGGGGTTGCAGAACGAAGGGGATAATAGGGGAAAGGGCTATGCAGTGGTTTATGGCTTGGTAGGGGAAACCTTAAACCCTGATTGCTGCCAAGACAATGCATTGTAAAACTATGGCCTCACACATTCCCTGGCATAGAAACACACAGTCAGAGGATGCAAACTGCCTTAGCTCTCTTCTGCTCTGCAGCTGCGGGGATGTTTTTGGAGTGAGTATAGACGTTACAAACTTGTGCTAGCCTTGGTACTATTTACAATGAAGCCACAGTGATGTGGGGCTTTGGCAACTCGCCCTCCAGGATTCTAGGTATTTACTTAGGCAGGCAGGTCTGAGCTGCTGTGGCTTCACTGCTCTTTTAGCAGGATTAGCTGGAGCACAGCTAGCTTGGAAGCTTCTCTGCATGCTGCTGTTAAGCCTCTCAAGCAGCTATGGATGTTGTGAAAGTATAACACATACATTTGAACCATTGTGTGGCCTTGGATTAGATGCAGCTAATCTTTCGTTTTACTTAGAAGTTAATTTCTTTTTCCCTTCCTGCTTTCAAGTTACATCTATGACTTGATTTCGTATTCCCAAAGAATGAATGTGGTACCCAGCAGGAAGGGTGTAGACAACAGGACAAGGGAACAGTGTTGCTGTGCTGTCTCTGAGTGCCAGAGAATTATGACTAACTGTAAATTTGTTAGATTCTTCCGTAGCCCCCAGCCAGGTGAAATTTGAGGGAGCAGGGGAGAGGAGCAGTTTAGAAGAGGGGAGGAACAGGAAGATAAAGAAAAGGAATATTAAGTTTGAGAAAACCAAAAGAAAATGAAAAGGGGACAGAGATAAGAGAGGAGGTGAGAAGATAGAAGCAGTAACTGAGGAGGAGGATGGTGGAACAGACTCACGAAAGCTGGAGCAAAGCAAGGTCAGGGAGGCCATTGCTGTCAGAACCAAAGATGGAAGTAAATGCTTGAGGTTTTTTAGCAGAATGCGTGAATTGATGATGAGCCTTTGTAGCCCCAGGTAGTTCACTCCACCTGAAGATCGTGCTGCTGCAGGAGAGGGGTACTGTAAGAGAATATCAGGGGGCCAGTGGTAGAAATAGCTACTCTTAGGAGCTGAGAGGGCTTGTTTCTGTAAGTCAGAGCTGCTGCTCTTCTCTATGGGATGGGATGTCTTACAGGTTACCCAAAGAGGAGGAGAAAGGGAGCCTGCTGATGAGGTGAGAGAAGGATGACGGATGTGGAGTAGTGCCCTCAGTTATCTCTCTCTGGTGCTCTCTCGATAGAAGATGTTTGAGCCTATCATCCTCGTATGGCTGCCCTTTTTCCTTAGCTGTCCCTTGTCAGCAGTTGTCTGTTGTTCCTGTGTTTCACCTTTCTCTGGCTTTGATGGCTCAGTTACTGATGACTTACTGGCTGGCCCTAAAAGGAAAATAAGAATCCTCTTAATACTCACCTTACCTGAGACACTGGCTAAGAAACCAAGTACTCTTGCTTGGGCCCAGCTGCTGTCTCCACTTGCAGTCTACAGTAGCAGCACCCAGAGCAGTGGGAAGTCTCTGAGCAGGTGAGCTCCTGGCTCTGATCTCTTTGCTTTAGTCTTTTTGCTCCCAGGTAGAGCCTGAACAGCCTGTGCAGCACTGTGCTGGGTTTAGGAGATCTGAATAACCTAGTTTCCCTAGCAACAGTGGTCTCTTTAGTCATAAAGATACAAATCTACCTCTGTTATTAGTGTTAAGACTTGCGTAGTGTATCTGGCTATGATAATACTTTGCTTCTGTTGGAAAAAACAGTAGAATAAAAGCAAGAAGGTCCTTCTGCCTTGGAGATAATTAAGATCTCCATAGGTGGATTTTAGTGCTGTATGCAGTAATAACAGAAGAGGGATTACAGCTACCTCTAAGCTTTTTAATGTGTGAGGGATCCCTGGAGGATACAGAAATAAAGTTTTAAATTCTATGTGGAGCTTTCTGTGCACAGATCTTATGGCAGTCTGTGACACAGATAGATTCATTTCTTGTTGAAATGTGTTATTTTCATTTTTATGGGTAGGGATACAAAGTGATTCGAAGGTAGACTGAATCTTGTTGCAAAGCTGGGAATAAATCTCCTCTTCTGAGCCCAAGTCCTCCATCTGCCCTTCCCTTCAGTTTCAGATAAAGGTTTCCCTGTGCAGTAGGAGACAGAACATGTTATGGAAGGTAGAAGTGTGAAGCCTGCTTTTTAGCAGGAGAAAGTGAGGAAAGTGAAAATAGTGTGATTCGCTGCAAGCCTTTCTGCTAATGTATTTTAGTTTGCATTCACTCCCCCATTAACAGAAGTGGAACAACCTATAAATTTTGGAAGTGAGCATTGGGATTGAAATAAATATTCCTGCCTTAATTTCTGCACAGCAACATAGTCTTGCATGTGTGCAGGAGAAGCTGGTTTGGATAAGAGTAGGTTGAAGAAACTTATGAAGGAAGAAGAACTCTTGCCTGATCAAAGGCATGAAGCCTACATAAGTGCCTAGTACTGATGTTTCTCCTTGGATAATGGCAGTTTTAAATTGTCAGTAATATCTTGCAGGCTTCTTAGGTTAGAAAGTTGCACAAGGGACAGCTGAATGGAAAACAGGTATCTGCACTCCTCCACTGAAGTTATATGGTGTTAGGTGTGGGTTTTGTTGTTTTTAGTGGTTTGGGTTTGTGTTTTTTTTTTTTAATATGGCGTAAATATTGCATAGATGCAAAGAGACTTCCATCCCTTCCTATTTATAATTCTGGTTTCTGGAGTCAAAACAGTCCCTTAACCTTCTGGCCAAACAAAATACCAAATCTTGTGTGTGAAGAGGGTGTTTTTATTTTTTCTTTTCAGTGTTTCCTTGCCTGTTTGGGTAGTGCAAGATGAGAGCCATGCTGTCGTCTCTTCTTCATTCTTTTAGCCAAAGAGCTTTTGAAAATTCCGGCATGAGATTTTTTTGGCTTGCAGGTGTTGTAGACATTACCCAACTTTGGGATATCTAAAAACCTCTTGTTTGTGACTGAGCATCTTTATTTCAGCAACTTCCTTTCAAGCCTCTGTTTGCCAAATCAACTTAATAGAGTGTCTTCTAAATGGTTGGGGAACTTTGGAAACCTCTAACATCTAGACAAAAGTCCCTTACAGAGAACATGTGCCAACTTTTTTTTTTTCTTTTTTCCATTCCTGTGGTCTTGCACAATCTAATTGAGTGTTTTGAGGAACTCTGAGAGCTTGAGCACAAGGTAATACCACAAGCGGGTAGGTGACATAAAACTCATGGAGCTTGTTAAAATAATATTGCCATGGTCCTTCAGCAGCCTAAAGGCCTTGTATACAACTGTTATTTAGCTGGATGGTATTTGGTATGAACTGAGACAGAGGCTCACTTCTACAGTGAGTTTATTGTTGGATTTTCAGTATATTGTTTGCGTAAATTCCCCACACCAGCTCTCCCTCCTGAATAAGCCACATGGATCAAGTTTTATTCTGTTCCACAGAAAGTTCACATCCTTTAGTGGAATGAGTCATACTTTAACTGATTTTACTGTGAGAGAGGAAAGTGGGCTTTAAAATGTTACTCCTCCACCCTGCCTTAGTGATGTGTAACAGGATTATTAGTATGCTTGGCAGCTGCTGCTTATTATTTTCGCAGAACCTGGATATTTGTGAAAACAAGTAAAAATTGATTCTACTTGTGAATTTAATGCATAATTTTAAACTTGTAAGATAAAGCTATTATTTTTTGTGGCTTTGCCTTCCATAAGGGTTGCCTGCTACTGTAAAAGTGGATCTAGCTTATCTCCCTGTGGTTATTTTTCAGTTTTGGGAGAAGAGTTGCATTTTGTGACTTGTAACTGAAAGAAGAGGAGGAACGCCACCATTTTGTGTTTGGTAGCCCATGCATGGCTGTTACCGTCACACACAGGACACCTCTGGGCATGGAGAAGTGAAAGTGCTTCACAGGCCCATGTAAATCATATGTAAGGTTGTCTCGAGCTCCTCTCACGCTAGATGTACGTGATGCAGTGCCACTGTGCAGAAAGCAAATTTTGGTCCTCGTGTATATTTCTTTGTGCGGAGAGGTAAAAGACCTTTCAACCTATGGTAGAGGAAGCTGTTCAGTGTGTGCCCTTAATACAGATTTTTGCAGAAACAGTCTCTGTATGCAGCTACTAAATATACCAGGACCAATTTTACTACTCAACTTTCCTGCAGAAGTTCATTCATATCTCATGCAATAATGCTTAATTTAACTCTTCAAACCACCATCCTTTTTTTTGTTTGTTTGGTTTTGTTTTGTTTTGTTTGTTGGGGGGAGGGGAGGAGGGAGCAGCGTGGTGGTTTGTTAATTTGTTTAAGAAGTTAGTCTCAAAATTGAAAAGGAGGAGCAGCCAATAGAAGAGAGCCTTTTAGGATTTTATTTTTGGCAGTAGGCTGGTTCACTTGACATGTAAGACCTTTCTTTCCTAGTCCTCTTGTTCCTGAGAGCTCTGGAAAGAGTTATGTTCCTTACCTGAGCGACATATTATCTATGATTGCTAAATTGGCAAAGGGCATCATCTGTTCTCATTCTACAGAAAAAAACAGGTCTGTTACCCTGACACACTACATTGCTAAACACAAACTGCATAACTTCTATGGAGCCTGCAAAAGGGTTTATTTTGATGCTAATGCTTTTGAAGGAAAACTTGAGGGAAGGACCTGTAATTAAATGAACACCAATGTTAGATGTTAGAAATGACTTTACCTTTTAGGACTTAGAATGACAGAAGTGAATGTTTGGTGACAACATGAATTTAATTAAATTTATGCCTCCACTTGATCTATATTTAACTATCACTGACTCTGGGTTTACTGATAAGTAATCATAATAGCTGGGAGGCAGGCAGTACCTTGCTTGACCAGCCTGTCTCCTGTCCAGCTTGGCTCTGACCAGACAAATTTTTCTCCTGTGTTTTACAGATGCTTCCTTCAGTGGCACACCACCTAGCTATGCGTATGATGCAGACCGTGCTGAAGAACAGAGGCGACATCATGATATGATGCCCTATATTGATGACTCGCCATCATCCTCACCTCATCTCAGTTCCAAGAGCCGGGGCAGCCGAGATACCCTATCTTCAGGGTCTCTGGAATCTACAAAATCAGTGAGTCCTTTTCTGCCTTTTTGGAATCAGCAAAACCTTGTAGGTTTGCAAGGGGTAGACTGCTTTAGCAGGGAGCAAAGACAGGGACTACCAGCACTGTTGGACGTATTACCTGACATAATATAGCAGTGCCTGACTGATATTGTATATTTAAAGCTAAATTGAGGTTCTAGCTGATGCTAAACCTAAACTTCAGGGATGAGTGTTGTGTGTATGATTTTTAAGCCTCAGTTTTTCACGCTTTGTGAATTTTAGTGGAGAGAATTGGTGATTAATTGCTGTTAAGAGAGTCTCTAAATACCAGATATTTTGGAAAGGAGACTCTGGAACAAAACATCCTACATTATGATGTTCACACATCAATGCATATGGGTAGTCATTGCCTTTCACAAGGAAAATACAGAGTTATTTTCAAGTAAGTTAAAGGCTTTGATAAAGCATGCAGAATATAAGATCTATTTCCTTCACCCTGTGAAAATGGAGTAAGAAGAATTAAAACTGCCAGCTCTGAAGTATGGTGACTTTGGGTGGGACATGGCTGCTTCTTATAACGAATTTGACTATTCACTAAATGGCTATCTGTATAACCAATTATGGTAGATAAAAAGTTCAGAAGGGATAACCTAGCCTGACCTGTGGTTTGATGTGGACCTTCAGGCTATCTTGCTTTATTTTTGCTTCAGGTTCAGTAGCATGGCTATAACTTGGAACTTAAGGAAAATTTCTGATTTTGTTTTTACAATAGTCTTGGTAGAGAGTCTGCTGTTTGCCTTGGTAAATAACTATTGACTTTTCTGTCTTCACAGTCAAAAATGTCTTGTTTTCAACTTGAATTAATCTGTTTGACTTTCAACCTTTGTTTTTTATCCTTTTGCTTCCTAGATTGTAGAGCACTTCAGTCCCAAGTTGCTGTTTCCCTGAATATCTTTGCCATCTGCAAACGTTTGGTTTCCCCAAGTCATTCATAAAAATGCTTAATAGCACAAAGACAACTGTCACTTCCTTCCTACTGTATTTCTAAGAGAGTGTAGCCGAACAACCTTGAATTCCCACATTGTAAATGACACTTTGAAATCTGTCATTTAAGTGGTTTAACTTATGTGTTGGCTTTATAACATTCTGTCCTATTAATTAAGATGTCGTGGGAGAAGATGGATGTTTTACAGATACCAGTGTACATGTAAATCAATACCATCACCTTTATCAGACAATTTTATTTATCTTGGATCAAAACGATTTCAAGAGTCTGACAAGTTCCACAAACTACTACTGCTTAGCATTCATTGTATCTTTCTATTACTCTTTATTAGTTAGTGCCATATCATATGCTTCCTTACTTTTTCTACGATGAATGTTGGATTAAGAAGCCTACTTGAGACAATGCTCTTGTTCTTTCTCATTTATAAAAATGCATTGTCAAGATGTCTTAAAGCATTATCAAGTACATATGTTGTTGATGTTTGCTTAATTTTATTTGATTATAAAGTGTGGAATGTAGTTAGCTGCTTATGCTTTAGTCTATTAGTTCTGAGATGCTTTTTTATCTCTCAAGATGAGAATTCTTGTGATATGTAAGAGGCTTTTGAATGAAGAAATGATCGTTAGTAAATTCAAAAGCTCCAAGAACATTTTAATATTGGCTTGAGATTTCCAGGTTATGTTTCTCAGGATGAAGGAAAAAGGCTATGTGACTACATATGGCTGAGAGTTATCTTCAAAGAACCAGTTGTCATAGTGCCTGTGACTGGAGGCCTGAAAGAGACACTGCCTAGTATTTAATCTTGTTCTTTGTTTGAATATTGCCTCGTAAGCATTTAAGAGCAGTTAATTTCAAAGTTACCTTAATAATGCTAGAAGGCTGCCTTTTTACAAATAATTTTTAACATAAATGGCTGCTTTCTTCTCTCTGACTATAAAAAGACGTTTTATGGCTTCCAAAAGAAAGAGGCATCCTGATACAGTTTAGACTTTTAATCATGAACATCAACTGCTTCAGTTGATCCTTTCTGTAATTAGTCCACAAATGACAATGCTGCTCATGAAAGATGGTCCATGACAAGGAGGAAGAGACTAATTTATATATGGTTGCAGTATTTCACAAACAAGTTAAACTTTCTGTCATTGTGAGTTGTTCGATGGCTTTTACTGTAATTGTGTTTTCAGCTGTAGTGGAAAAGACATCAGTAACAAAGTTAAGTGTCAAACATACTGTGCTGAGCCAAGCACATAAAATGTGTTGGACCAGAAATACCAGAACGTATGTCTTTCCTATTTTCTTTTTCGCTATGCTTGATTAGCGGAAAACGTTTTTTTGTTTACATGTGTTTGCTTTTGTAGTTATCTCCTTGCCCTTTTACTTGTTTCTTAGGTACCTGCAATTACTTCTGAAAATTTTAGATTATCTTTATGACCAGGGTCTAGAAATCAACAGTTAACTGTATATAACAACACAACACATGCACTATCTACACTACTTTGACAAAATATTAAGATTGTGAAGTCATTCAGAAGTTAAGAAATGACTATGGTTATCCAGCCTTGCCTCATGTCTGTAGCCTTGTCTTGAATCTTTATGATAACTTTCAATTATGCAATCATGTCCTATTTTTTTCTGCAGGGCTCCTGCATTGTTCAGTGTATATAGTGAATGATACTGACTGGATTCAATATTTTATGTCTAGAGCTATGTGTACACCTTATTTACAGGGCACGGTGCAAACTCTGCTCTGAGTACAAAAGTATTCATTTCCTTTTGGCATGAGCATTAACTCCAAATACAGTTGGAATGCCACACAGGTCTTAATTATCCTTGCAATGTTCCTGTGAGATAAGAGGATGGTATGTTCACTAACCACAGGTAATCAAGGCAGACAGATTACAGGAAAAGCATCTGCTGATTTTGGGTGCTTAATGTGAGATGCATAATGTTCTGCAAAACCAGGTTCTGACTTTTAGTGCAGTTTTCTTCATATTTAAAGTAAAATTTTTTTTCTTCATATTTAAAGTAAAATCCCTTTAATTTCACTTGCAACCGAGAGTTAACAACAATCCAGTCAGGCACCCAGAAAGTGGAAAACATTGTGAACAATGATTTATTTTTTTATTTTTTTTTATTTTTTAAGTAATTCCAAGTAGTTTGCTTAACATCACACAGACGTAGCAGCATTCTGGAGTGATGTTCATCTGCCTTACCCACGAGACTAGCCTTCTTCTTGGAGACTGGGTTGTTGCTATCTGGCTATTGAGGGCATTTTGCTTTGACTTATTTTTATGGGCTTGCTCTGGGCTTTCTATTTTTCTGCCAAATGTTGGACTAAGTCCTTCCATCTCCTTATAGCAGCAATAGTCTTTGAATGAGTCGTACATCAGGATTCCACCTGGTCTGCCTAGCCACCATAGAGAAAGTGCAGAGTGGCAAAAGCAGTGTTTCTTTCTAGAAGATGTAGGGTGACCAACTCCCAGCACCTCATGTTTTGTGTTCCAGGAAGTGACAGCTGCAATTGACTTCCAGAAGGTTTGTGATGTTCTACACCTTGTCATTTGGGATCTGTTTTCCGATCCCCTGTACCACCTACATCATGTAAGCAGACTAAAATGCGCTGGCTGTTCTGCCTCCAAAGTGTACCACTTCAGCCACCTCTTATGTATTCATATTCCACCTGCTACGTGGCCATTGCACAAATGTCTGTTGCTATCCAAGGAGGGTGACAAGAGGTGCACCAGCATTCATTTTGTCTGTGACCCAGAGGGGACGTAATCACCATGGGCGTTTGTAATGTGGATCTCTGCATCCCCTGACTTGTCATTTTTGTGGTAAGGAGGCCTTAACAAATGTTTGCATTGAGCAAGCTAGGTCATACACCTTCTTCTGGCTCTTCCAGAATCTCATGCTGAGCTGCTGATGCATGCCCTGGCATAAAGCCAATGCTTTTGCCAAACTTTGTTGCTCTGAAGCAAGCCTACAGGGGAAAGAGGAAAAAGGAGAAATAAGTTCCACTAATACTTAAGTTGTTTGTTTTTTTTATTTAACTTGAGAAGTGATTTCATTTTCCTGAACCTTGCTTTCTGTAACAGTTAAACTGTCGTGACTGAACTTTCAAAAAATTCTGGAAACTCGTCTTGGGAAATGTCAGCCCAAATGTTTGCCAAATAAGACAGTGCTGGTAGCTTCAGAAGGTGTCAGACAGTGTTTGCAATAGGTAGTGACACTTCACTCCCAGAAAGAGAGAGAATGTGTCTGTCTTCCCCATACAGCTAGGGTGAAAAGTGGAGAAGATACCTGGATAGAGTTGGAGGAGGACAGAGGGAGGGCTTGCTACAGTATTCTTGGGGCACAGGAAATTGTTGGGACAGTTGGAAAGTTAGTGACAGCATTGGCAGGCATTGCTGGTCCTCAGAACGGATTCTTTTATTCTCACTGTCTGCCAGCTGTGCAGAAAGCAGGGCTGTGGCAGAGCAGGTTGTGGACTTTTCTCCTAGCTTGGTCTCACGGGGGTTCAGAAAAGTGGACCTCTGAAGCTACATCAATAAATGGCATTACTGCTCTGCTTGGTATTACTGTTGCTAGCTTGTCCTTTCCTTCTTCAATGTTTCCAAATTATTCTCCTTTCTTCCCCTCAGTATTCGGTTTTGTTTGTTTGTTTTGTTTTACTGTCACTTTCCCCTCACCACCCCTGACAGATGCAACTTTTCCTTGTTATTCTCCAGCACTTTGCTCCTTAAGGGCTCTGCCTGGATGTACAGCCCTTCCTGAGGAGAGCTGGCACACCAGTACTGATGTTATAAATAATGTTGGCTCCTCTCCCTGCTTCTTCCCCTCCCTGCATGGAGCATGATTGGCTTGATTACAGAATTTGCTCTGTTTAATATCACCAAGACAATGAGACACCTCCAGCCTGTTTAGCAGAAGCTTTCAAAGATATTTGCACTTTAAAAATTGAAGTTAATAATTTTTCCCTCTTAGAGAAGCTGACAGCCTACATGAGGTTCTGAGCTGTCCTTATGGGAAACCTCTCCTTTGAACACATTCGTTGCACAGCATATGAACACACTGTACCAAAGGAAGGTCTGAGAGTTAAAGTGCCTTTTATACGCCCACTTTGAATCACTGATTCTCTTTACAGAGCTGTGCCGGCAGCAACCAGTTTGCAGAATCATATGTGTTGTGGTTTCTAGATTCTTAATCTGTTTTCTTCTAACATTTGCAAGAAAACAATTGTTGCTGTTAATTTAAACAACAACCAGAAAGCCCTGAGTTCTTTAAACAGAATCAGGAAGAGCTGAATCTGTCTAATCCTTGGAGCTGGTGAATCTCAGGCTTGCAGTAATTGAATACAACATGCAATGCCAACCTGGTTAGTAAACTAAAGTACTTAGGCTGACAAGCTGTAAACACATTCAAAACAGCCATGGCTCAGGGCCAGTGTATGCACGCTGTCTAATATCTCCAGTGCTTCTAACCACTCTTGACTGGCCTTGATTCATGTTGCTAGACTGCGCTTATGACTGTGACTCAACCTTTTGGTTTTTAAGTCTTTGGAATAGCAAGAAGCACCACCTAGTCGAGAAGAAAACCAGAACCTTATGGGTATGAGATACCTTGCAAGCTTCCTTTATACTGCTTTCCACCTTCCTTTTTGTGTGTTTTTTTTTTTTTTTTTTTTTTTTTAAATGTAGTTCATGCAGAGCAGGAGCAAAGCACTGATTTCTTGCTTGCTTGTTCAGAACTGGCTGGGTGTTGGGTCCTCACAGCTCCCATGGTGGATGGACAGGAATGATCTGGCTGCTGCCCTGTGATAGTCCTGTAAGATAAATTTATTCTGAAACATGTGGGTGGAGAGGTAGCCAAAAGATGGAAGGGCAATCGGGAAAGGCTAGAAATGGATGCTGGCATCAAAGAGGTAGGGGCAGAGTCAGAACACGAAATACTAGTCAGACTTGTACAAGTGAAAAATGGGCTAACCAAGCTGGGTAGGAAGCACGGGATGGACTGCTGACCACCTGGCACTCCCTGCTGAGTGGTTAGAGTGTGCCAATACAGGCTGCTCCCACATCCTGCTGGGAACATCCCATCTGCACTTCGGTTAATAAGTGTATTTTCCCCTAGCTAATATGGTCTGGTAGATGTGGTACCAGCTCCTCCCCTTGCCACAAGCAGCTCAAAGATTTCTGACTGCTTCCTTCTTGCCAGGGTAGGGGAAAGGAGTCCTCAGCCTTGGCAGGTCTCCCTGAACCAGTGGGGAGCTCCATACCTATGCCCAGGATGTTCACTCTCTTAATTGCCCGTCTGCCTGGAGTGCAGAAACAGAGCAGTCAGTGAGGCGGTTGTGGTCACAGTGTTGCTCTTTGTTCCCCTTTTTGTCAGCTATAGGCAAAGCAGAAAATGCCCTCGGCACTGGGCGTATCGCATGTTGGTGTGCTGTAAGGGGAGAGTGGAAGGACAGTCTTGCGGTATCTCTGCCTACTAATTGCTCTGTCTTGTTTTGGGTGAGCAGGTGAGCTTGCTGCCAATTTTGTAAGTGAGGAATGTTGCAATACTAAATAATAAACTTGCTCCTCTTCTTCCTGATGTTGGCACCAGTTCCTAGTGAGTTTCTCGGTCCTGGAGTACATTTCATAACAAGTGTGACTTAAAAAGCACCCTGAGGCTGAAGAAGCACAGGGGTTGTTTTCCAGATGTTCATCTAGCAGCAAGAGCTGCTGCTCAGTACAGCCCTAGATGACATTGTCAGAA